TATGAGAACTATGTATTTAGACATTCATCACAGTCCAAAGAAGAATCTGCAATGTTATTGGTTCTAACCTGGCATATCAGCTCCAGTCAATTTCCCACTGCTGTAACCTAGCTTCTCTGTGCCTTTTCTGTAAATATTTTCATCATAATTGTTCTGATGAGCTTCTCTTTTTGGTACCTCAACATTACGAATTTAAGTGCTGTTTGGCAGATAGGTCTCATTTTTTTTACAGTTGAAATTGCTAGATGTAACTGCAAGTTCTATGCTGACAATTTCTTCTCTCGCACTTCTCACTTATCGAACTCTCTTCCAACTTCTTGCTTTCTAGTCAAGTTTGATCTTCAAAAATTTAAATCATCACTTTCTTAATTCCTGTTTTTTGTCATTTCTCCTTAATATTGTTATTCTTTTATCAGATTCTTTAACACTCAGTTAGCCCCCTTGGGTTTTAGTGGCTTTATCACCTTGCTTGTGGTGAAGGGTGAGAAGACCTATCAGGATTTATTATCAGCAGACATGACTTTAATGACATATGCTATGTAGATGATACTTTTTTTTTTGTTTAATTTACTAATGTTCATTCTATACAAGGCTCAGGAGCCACTCAAGACAGAAGTGGTTGTTTGGATGGTAAGAAGTGTAGTTTATGATGATATGTGGAAAAGACTAGACTTAAATAAGATAAGATTGTAGTGGTCAAGAAAGCATTTTCTTGGAATTGATTGAAGATTCATGAGAAATAATTCCATGAAATAACAATAAGTAGTGAGTATAAAAGTTAAGACTGTAAATCTGATGAAACAGCTTGGAATAAAACTTTGGATTTTTGCTATCCATCACCATGGCTAATACTAACCTCAAGGAGAGCAGCACATTACGCCTTCTTTGTCACACATCATCTACTGCCATGAAGGGGAGTGATTATATTGAATCAGTTGTTAGACAGTTTTGTTTGCATCAGAATCCATCTTGCACATTGATAAATCTACTATCTGTGTATTGGTTACTGAAGTCCTATTTGGTCTGGTGTTACCACTATATATCTCTCAAAAAAATTCCATAGAAGGGTCTGTAATGTTATCCATCCTGACCTGGCATCTTGACTTCAGGCACTTTCCCACTGCTGTAACATGGCTTCCCTCTGCCTTTTCTATAAATATTTGCATGGTAATTGTTCTAATGAGCTCCCCTCCTTGGTCCCTTGACTACACAAATTTAAGTGTGCTGCTTGATTTGATATTATGTCTCATCATTTTATTGTTGAAATAGCTAGATGTAAGCATAAATTCTATTTTAATTGTTTCTTTTCTTGCACTTCTCACTTGTGGAACTGCCTTCTAGCTTCTTGCTTTCCTACAATTTAAAAAAAATTTCGATGCAACATCAATCAGCATCTTCAGTTTTCCTGAGACCTGTTTTTTTATTCTCCTTTCTCCTCACTAAAGTGTTCTTATTCTCTTTCACTCTCAGTAACCCTTTGTGTCTTAGTGGCATTATTACCTTGCTTGGAGTGAAATGATTAAAAAAAATATTAATGAAATATTTTGTTATTTTTAGTCTCCTTATTTTTATTTATTATTTTATTCTTTATACTTTGTTGAGCATTGTTTTGTAAAAATTAAAATCGCTTCCTCTGGTGCATTCGCTCTGCTTTCTAATCAAAAAAATAATTATTGATTCCTAGTATTAGGTAGGCTAGTTAATAAGGTAATTATTGTATCTCAGTAATTTTTGGTTAATATTAATTTAGGACTAACATGCTCCTGTCAAAGATACAAGTTACATCATTAGTAGTCCTTTACTTGGGGTAGCATTACTTGTGAGCCTAGCATCTAATCGACTGAAAAACCATGTGTGATTTTGAAATTTACCAATTTTGATAACAAATACTTTTTAATTAATTGTCATGAACCATTGGACATTTAGTTAATGAAAGCAGGAATAAAGGACTAACCATAAGAAGATAGAATGCATCGTTGTTAGGAAAAGGTGTAACTCAAAGGTTCAGTTACATATTGAGGATGTTAAAATGAGCTCCTGGATAGTATACTGGCACAAAATTCTGAAGGTGCACATGGGAGTGATTTTCAAAAATGAGCAAGGTATTAATGGATCAAAAAAATGTCTTTAAGCAACAAACAAAATAGTTCTGGATTACTAGGTTGTGTTTAATATGACAATGAATGCCTGACAATTACCTCACAGGTGAAGAAAAGACTTCTTGTGTCTGAGAAATGGTTCTATTGATATATGTATTATATATTGTCCTCATCTTTGTTGCCACGATTATCACGTTTCAGCCATTGTATGCTCTGGCCTTCTTCAGGTGGTTGGAATGTCAAACTGAACCCTTTATTTTGCTCGCTGGGGTAGACTGTCTAATGGATGTCAGTTACCTCCTGTTAATTCCCCTCTCAAAGTTCTCCACTGCCTTAACCAGGTATTGAACTCACACTCTTTGGGTCCTGTCACTGGATCTAACTAACACCTTTATCCACTGTGCAATGTGTCCTTGAGGACATCTGCGTACGAATTTCTGGGTATTATAAACCTAATATCTTCAGCAACCATTTTTTACCAGTGCCGAAATGTTGTGATAATCCTAGCGACAAAGATGAGGACAATAGTCCGAATAATGTAAATAGTGTACATAATGCATCTTCTCAGAAATATAGACAGATATTGATATATTTTTCAAATACTATCGATAAAGTATGTGAGAAATGAAGAAGTTTTAAGAAGAATTTGATCTTTAAAGAAACTGATGCTGACAGTCAGAAATGACAAATGATGATATTTGAAAGAAGGCTTAGAAAATTCACAAGCTGTATTGAAGGCAGGGAAAATCAGTGAGAAACCTACTTGACAAGTTTGAGTAAACTGAATAATTGAACAAGTAGAACAAAGTTAGTGGTAAAATGTTAAGAATTACAAAAGGCTAGAAGATGTGGAGAGACATGATTGCCCACATTCGCATGCTATCCCCTGGCCTTATATATGCTTCATCACAGCTACACTTTTTTTTTTTTTTTTTTTGAATTTTATTATAAAAATGTACTGATAATGAAGAAGATATAAATTATCAGTGGCCAGAATTAGGTAAATATTACTAATAGAATTGTGATGTATCATGTAAACACATTGCTAATAATTTTACTATAGAAATGCATTGAGACTCAGAATGGTAAGGGTAATAATAGTTGTTCCCTATAAAGAAACGTTTGATTGAACAGCCGCTGCTACTCAAGTTACACTTTTCTTTACTCCTTGGTGATCAAGTTGGGATTAAAGTGTAGTATCTGTTCTTGACTTTAATAGTAATATCAGCCTTTTCTTTATAAGGAAACATTCAGCATTCATTGACCAAGCAGCTAGTGCTACTTCCGGTTGAAATTTATAAAATCTTTATTAAAACAATTATTCAGGAAAATAGGTTTTTCAAGTCCACTATTCTTGTTCTTTCAAATACTGATAAAGCCTTCCTTCCTAACTTTTTGTTTGTGGTAGTGTGGAACATCAGCATCTTATGTCATTATTTTCTCTTTGAGTTACATGTGCTGTCCATTTTAGTTTTTGCATGTCCTCAAGTGATGTGGTTTCTTTTATTTGGTACAGGTCTGCAGTGCCAGTGCAGGATTTTCAAAAGAATTATAGCAGTCACTAGGACTTGAGACATTTTTTTTCCCACTAGCACGCAAGGGGTTACAGAAGATTTGGAGCAAGATCAGATAGGATTGATAGAGGAAAGGATGAGGAGAAGGATAGTGGATAGATCAAGGCAACTGGAGATGTCAATTGACATTACATTTGAATAGTTGGAGATTATAGCTCTCAGGGAAACTGGAATAGGGAAGGGAGTTCCACAGGCGAGATGTGTAAGATATGAAGCTATTGGAGTAGAAGAGATGGCTACATATAATAGTTTCAACAGTGAAAGGTTGAGAGTGGGATGCCAGTCTCGTAGGGCACTTGAATGCATGATGTCTGGGAACCAGTGAATGCAGCTCCTCGGAGCAATTACCATGAAAGTATTTGTAAAAAAGACAGAGGCGACAGCATGTCTGTGTGAGGGCGACTGTAGATGAGATGCCAGAACAGGCCCAATTATATTACATATCTGCCTCTGGAGCCTATCAAGAACCCTGAAGCAAACAGAAGGGGCTCCAGACCATATATGGCAGCAATACTCCATGCAAGGGCGAATTGTTGATTTGTAGATCTGAAGGATCGATTCCGGGGAGAAAATGAAAGTCTCGATATAACGAGTCTGTTTAAGTACATGACAAGCTTTTAGATTAATCTTTCGGTTTTGTAGCAATTTGTGGTATTGGGCAAACCTACCCTTTGTGCAACCAATTTTCTTACCTCCTATACTAAATTTGTTATAATTTATTCATACATCAAGATGCATTGTCAATGGTCATGAATTAATGCAATCATTACTTCTTCTTTCACCCTTAACCCCAGAAAGGGTCATTAAGGGGGCCAACGTGCTGAGCTGTCCACGATTTTCCTCCATCCGTTGCAGTCATGTGCTCATCATATGGTGTGTCTTGGGCATTTTAACCTGGCAGAGCTCATCCCTCTCAAGATTAGACCACAGCAAAATTGTTCCAACTAGATAGCTCGCCTTGGTCATGAACATGTGGCTGTTCATCTGAGGAACCCTTTTACACTGGCGTCAAAGAGGTCCTTTGCCTAGTGGTGCCATCTTAACACCACTCCTTCACATGAGCTTAGCCAGCCTGCTGAAACAGTTTACCAGGGCATGTCAACTTGGAGCCATCCTGTGAGAGATTTAGATGTTTGAGGACCAGAGATGCCCGCCCACACAAAGGTTCATTGTGCCTACATATATAAATCATTATTTTTAGTAGAATATAATTATTATGTATAATTATATTTCATGTCACTTTAACTAATCCTCGGTTGCGGAAACAGCCACTGTACAGAATAATTGTATGGAGTTTTCTGCTAATCTTTTCTTTCTTCAATTGCAGAAAGTGGAGCATCCCCAGCACCTCCACCTCCTACACAAGATGAAAGCCCAAAACAGCCGGTTGAAGAACCCTCAAGCCAGCCTGTAAAACAGTAAGTTTTGATATAGATTTTATATACTATCTGACCTTGTAAGAATTGGTCAGAGGAAGTGCCTTACCTCAGAGAAAGATTCTGATGTGACATTATGCCATCTGCATTGCATGATTGTTTACCTTTCTATACTTATTGAATCACCTGCTAGATCTGCTGCTAAGAATGTTGGTCCACTGTGCTATGCCAGACAGTTTTTTTACATCAGAATCCATGTTGCATATTGATAAATCTGCCATTCGTATGTGCATTGAATATTGCTGCCATATCTGTTCTGGTGTTATTATTATATATATTGAGATTCTCAACAAAATTCAAAGAAGACTCTATAATGTTATCGTTCCTGACTTGGCACCTTAACCAGGCACTTTCCCACTACTGTGATGTAGCAACTGCTGTATATCGCTTGCCTTTTTGTGGTAATTGTTCTGATGAGCTCTCTTCCTTGGTACCTTTACCACCTGAATTTAAGTCTGTTACTAGATTTGGCTACAAGGCTTCACCATTTTACTGTTGAAATAGTTGGATGTAACTGCAAGTTCTATTCTAATAGTTTCTTTTCTCACACTTCTCACCTGTGGAACTTTTTTTTCCCAATTTCTTGCTTCCGTGTCATCTACAATCTTCAAATTTTACATGCACTGTCAATCACATGAATAATCTTCTTTTTATTGTCCATTCTTCTCAGTAAAGTCTTCTCGGCTCATTTAACCCCTTGCAGATTAGTTGCATTACTGACTTGCTTTTAGTGAAATGATTTAAAACAAAAAAAACAAAAAAAAAAAAAAAAAAGCACATTTTGGTATGTATAGACAAGGTGTCCTCTTTATCAGATATTTAACAGATTTTTCTTTTTTTAATATTTCATACTAAGCAAGGCAATAAAGCCACTAAGACACAAGGGTTATTGAGAGTGAAAGAAACTGAGAAAAATGTTATTGAGAAGAGTGGACTGTAAAAAAACAAAACAAAAGAAACAGGATTCAAAGAGACAAAGCATAATAATTGATGTTAAATTTAAATTTTTGAAGATTGTAGTTGACAGAAAAGCAAGAAGCCATAAGAGAGTTCCACAGGTGAGAAGTATGAGAAAAGAAATTATTATAACAGAACCTACAGTTACATTTCTTCATTATTACTATTATTGGTTTTATTTTTTTTTAATCAAGTTCACCCTGAGCAAAGCAATAATGCCACTAAGACGCAAAGTGGTGACTAGGAGTGAAAGAGAATTCAGAAGACTTTAGAAACAACAGGAAACATGGGATAAATCTCTCTTCTTACTGTTATTGTTGCATTATGAATCAATACACTCTCCGTTATTACTATTATTACAAGCTTTCTTCCATTGATAATTGTACCATCATTCTGTATCCTCCATTCTTATTTCATTGTTTTATTCTCTCTCGTTTCTTTTTTATTCTTCCTTATTATGTTTGGGAAGGCTATTCTTTTACTTGGAGCCAGTGACTGCTAATTTTTATGGTCAGATGTCTTCTTGCGAATGAACTAGTTCATTGTTGTTTGCTAAATACCATTTTCTTTTGAATGCCAGTGTTGTCTTTCTTGTGCCATATCTGAAGATTGGTCTTTAGGAAGTTGATGCAGACATTTTGAAGTTTTCAGCAATTCTCTACTGGCAAAGATTCCTGTCAAAAACATAATTCTTCCACCTCTTTGCCAATGTCTCATCCTGAAAGGCCAAGAATCTTCCTTCAGGCTTCTTTTGCACCAGCTGTCAACGAGGGTCCAGCTTGTGCTACTATTGCAGTTATTGAATATTTGAGAAAATTAGGGTTCAAGCTTACAAACTTATGCAGTAGTCTGCATGTCTGCTAGATCAGAATCTTTTCAGGAATTTTTGGAATGTCATTGGGAGTCACTTTTACATGAGTGACAAGTAATTTTCATCCAAGAATGAACTTTAGAAAGCAAATATCAACTGCTTGTGAATCCGTCATCTGTAAAAAAAAAAAATTTGGAATTTATAATTTTACTTTTTTTATCTTCTTTTCATTTTAAATTGGTTCTTTCAAGATATTTGCATATAAATTGGAACATTTAAAATAATCATACTTGGTATATAGTTCCGCATAAATTAAATTCTATGTTATAAGATCTTAGATTTTGTGATATCCCATACAAAAGTATGGTCTATGTTTCATCAAAATTTGCTCAGGCAATTAGTTGCATAATTTGTAATTTTTTTTATCATTTATTGCATCCCTCTTTGTATTATAATGACACTTCAGTTATTCTGTGCAACATCATAGCTTACAAGACCGTATATCTGCTGTATTCTCAAATTGGCAATGACAGACTGCAGTCATATACACTGCTATTTTTTGTTTAATAAATCTATCTTTCAGATTTGTCTTGAGAAGACACTGGTGTGGAATCTTCCTCATTTGCCAGTTACCACCCGTGGGAAAATGCATTCTTCCCCTGTGGTGATTATCATCACATACATACAAATCATGCGACAAGCATTCATTGATTAATCTCCTCAAAACTAGCTTGCTGACTGGTCAATTCCGACCAATCAGACATCCTGCACATGATGAATGAAATTTCCCGCTCACTAAGGTTTGAGCCAGTCACATGATACACCACCTTATATAAACAAAGCGCGAGTAAGCCTTCTTTCTCCGTTTTCTCTCGCGTCTTATTCCTTGCTGCCAAAATGTAACCTTCAAGAACTCCCGTCTTGACCATGCAGTCAGACATTAAAGATCATTACCATTTCACGCAAGTACGAACTCTTAACTCTTCTGAACTCTTATGAAATTTACCAATTCACATTTCTTAACATGCAACAGGAACTTTATTCTTCTAAACTACAGTTTAATAATTAATCCAACTTTATGAGCTCTGGTACAAATATTTCCAAATCTAAGAGACATAAATCATTCAAACCTTCAGGTTATACACCAAGACACTAATAAATTCAATTGTTATGTTTTGAACCATTACATTCTGTCTTGTATTTTATACTATGTGCTATTTTACGTCAAATATAAATTGCATTGTGACCGCTACATGTTTGGTAACCTCCAGCGTCTTTGCTTGTCCTTTTCCACGTCATTCCCAGTCAAAGATAAATAATTGTGGTGATATGTGCTACAATAATGGTGACCCCGTCAAAGATAAATAATTGTGGTGATGGGCGCTACACTGGCATTCAAATAGAAACTAGTATAGTAATGGTCTGTGTAACCATTGAATATATTACTACAATAGAGCTAAAATAAATGATGAACTTATGGAATAGCCGGTCTATTTGCCACATGTAAATGCTGTCAAAAATCTTAGGAGCATTTTTAATAAGTACCTTCATGTGATTAGCAAGTAATTTTCGTCCAAGTTTACCCCAAGCAAGGCAGTAAAACCACTACAATACAAGGGGTTACTGGGTGTGGAAGAATTTGAAAACAGAAACATTACTAGGGTGCGAGAACACTACAAGGGTAATCAGGAAGACAGTTGATAGTGATTGACATTGCAATTAAAACTGTTAAAATTACAGTTATATCTAGCCGACTCAACTGTAAATTGATGAGATCTCATCGCTAGTCTAGTACTGTGCTTAAATTCATAAAGTCCATATAGGTACCATAGCAAAGTGCTCATCTGAACAATTAACCTGAAAGTATTTATAGAAAAGGGTGGAAATCTTCTGGCTGTGGGAAATTGACTGAAACTAAGATGCCAGGTCAGGGCCAATAATATTGTTAATTCTTCTTTTGGTTTTATCAAAAATTTATAAATATATAGCAGGAGCCCTGGACCATATGTGGCAGCAATATTGTAAGCATGGCCAAAGTTGTTATACAAGTCTGTTGTATCCATCATTTGTTTAAATAAGTCAGTGGTGTGTGTTCACTCATTCTTATTCATTTTTTACCTCTTTTTTACTTACTCTCTTTTCATTTTAAATGGATTCCTTTGAGATACTTGCATATAAATTGGAACGTTTCAAATGATCATATTCTGTATATATTCCAGCATAAATGCTATTCTGTATCACAAGATTCTTTTATTTTGAAAAGTTAAAGTTTAACTTTCTTATCGAAGCCTATTATGAAAATGGACATTCAAATTTATAAATATATGGCCATTGATTCCACTAGCAAAAAATGCACACCAAACTGTGACCTTTTGTGGATGCAGTGGCTTTTCAACAATCTTCTTTGGATTTTCATCTGCCCAAATGCAACAATTCTGCTTATTAACAAATCCACCAAGATGAAAATGGGCTTCATCAATAAAGAGGATTTTTTGTGAAAAATCTTTATTGGCATGTATGTATGGTACTCCAAATGGTCAGGAGGTTTCAATTTTTGTGTCAGTTGAATTTTGTAATCATGTAGAAACAAATCTTTTGTTAAAATTCGATGTAACGTTGTTGTAGATAGGTTCAATTCCTGTGCGCGATGACAAATAGCTGTGTCTGGATTTTCAGCCACATTCTCGTGCACTGCAGCAATGTTTTCAGCTGAACGGCATAAACGAGCATGCAATGGTGTTTTCACATCTGTCCCTGACCTAGTTTTTTGAATTTATGGACAATTTTTCCAGCTGCACTCTCAGTTGGTCAATTATGTTGACAAAAAAAATTGCAAAGTGCGTGAAATGTATTTCTGTTTGTACATCCATTTTCGTAATAGGCTTTGATAACGTTAACCCGTTGTTTGATTGTTAATCTTTCCGTGGTTGAAATTGCCAAAGACTTAAGTTGTTAAATCTGAAAAAAAAAGAAAAAAAATCATTAGATGCTTAAACTTAATTCACATTTAAAATCGGTCCAAGTTACTGGAACACCCTATGGTGTTTCATTAAGAGGGATCAAAGTGAGTAGTAAATAAATCAGTGTTATTGGTGAAAATTTATTTATTTCTCTATTGAATCTTGTTATTTAAGTCATGGTATTTATGTGTGAAAAATAATATTGTCCAAATGTCTGCGAAGGCTTTGGCAGCACGCCTCTACTCGATGGTTAAAATTTTTGATGACGTCACTGCATAGTTGCTCCTCAATCTCACCAATATGCCTTATCTCATCCTTCAGCAGTTGAATTTTTGTTGGCTTATTGGCATGGACCTTACTTTAGAGATGACCCCAAAGGAAGAAATCTAAAGGTGTCAAGTTGATTGTGATGGCCAATTGACTTCACTGTTTCAAGAGATGATGCTACCTCATTCAAGTTCTGCTTGAATGTCCATTTTCGTAATAGGCTTCAGTAACTTTTTCATGTTGTTTGATTGTTAATCTTTCCGTGGTTGAAATTGCCAAAGACTTAAGTTGTTAAATCTAAAAGAAAAAGAAAAAAATCATTAGAAGCTTAAACTTAATTCACATTAAAAATCGGTCCAAGTTACTGGAACAGCCTTTATTTTTCAAGTTTTCTCTTTTCTTTCTCTTAGTTTCTCATAATTTCTCTGTTGCTTCTGTAAAAACAAATCTCATGACAACAGGGATTGAAATAGCAATGGCACATTTTTTATTTATATGTGGCTTATTATTCAAAACACTGACCAATCTATTTTCTCTCTCCCAAGGGATTTTATACTAAGAAAATGTATTTTCACTCTTTTCCCTCCAGAATTTAACTTACCTGAATCATTTATGGAAAGTGTTGCCCTGACTGTAATTAATTTTTTTTGTTTTTATTCAGTTTTGTAATGCATATAACTTTATTATTTTAATTCTGTATAGAATCTCTTTGATCACAAAAAGCTGTAAGAGGGTTCAATTCTTGTCTGGGACAATTTCATTACTTATATAATTTCTGTGTGAAATTTTGAGATGAGTAATTATCATTATCTACAATTTTTTTTAGATGTGTAATTATTATTATCTACCACTTTTTGAGATGAGTAATTATCATTATTTACATGAGTAATTATCATTATGAATTCAATTTTTCATTATTTACTACTATTTTGAGATGAGTGATTATCATTATCAACAAATTTTTTGAGTAATTATCATTATGTACTAATTTTTTGAGATGAGTAATTTTCATCATCTACAATTTTTTAGATGAGTCATTATCATCATGTACTAATTTTTTAGATCAGTAATTATCATTATTTACTATTTTGAGATGAGTAATTTTCCTTGCTAATTTTTTGAAATGAATAATTGTCATTATCTTCTACTTTTTTGAGATGAGTAATTATCATTATCAACAATTTTTTTGAGATGAGTATTCATCACTATCTACTAATTTCTTGTGATATGTAATTATTATTAAATTGTTTTATTAGGAATTAAACATTAAACTTTTGCTTGTCTTATAGTCTAAGTTATTGATTCTTTGTTAGGTTGCAAATGTTTTATATAGAACTAGCAGCATGGCCCGGCATTGCCCATGCTTGATTAAAAAATTGTATGACTCATACAGCAATCGCTATCAATTGACTTAAAATATTTTTGCCCTTCCTTGCCTTTAAAGGTGTGCCCTTTGCTGTGCTGATGTTGCTACATGCCTTACTTCTTGTCTATCTCACAATGCAAATTTTTTCTAAGCTCTATACTAAACATTAAATCTGTTATGAAAAAAGAACTAAACAAAATGATCAGCTTTAAAAAAGGACTCGTAACTGGAAAAACAGAATGAAAAAAGAATGTTAACAACAAATACTTTTTCACACCCAACCCAGTTCTGCGGAATCAGAATCAACGTTGAGTTTAAGCAAGCGAATGAGCCAAATGGAGTAAAGTGCCATGCAGATTTAAATTTTTCCCACTTGTGACGAATGCAGCTATCGATTTTTTTTGCATGCTAGCATGCTAGTTAACAATCATGCCAGTCATCTGTTGGCTCTCATACTGGTCAGTAGAATCTTCCTGCCTATTTGTGGCAGCCAGCTATAGGCTCTCACTCTGGCCAGTAGAAAATGGCCGCAAACTACATGAAAACTGCCGTAGAAGCATGAAAAAATCGATTATTTCCACTATTGATGGGAGTCGGGAAATGCAAAGTTAGTCTTGGCCTTCCCACTAACTTGGAGCATGTGCATGTAAATTTTGGTGCAAATCCGTTGAAAATTGCGGCCATGCATTCATTACACACACACACACACACACACATATCCTGCTTTTAGAGATAGACTTATTCTGGCTGTAATACTTTCATTATTATTGTTGTTTTTCTTGAAAGAACTAAGTGTTAAATAATAGAAAATAATCATTTATACAGATTAAATAGCAAAAATAAACATTACAAAAGAAACAATAGGATTCAAGATGCCTGTCCTAGAAATTCTAAAGTACTTTCTGTTTCTTAAAAATACCTCCTTAGTTTATTGCTTTTAGTGCCAAACCGTGCAGCTAACTCTATGTGTAGTTGCTCTAGAGCACTCACCAATGGGAAGTCCAACTGAGCGACAAGAACTACAGTGAATTTTGACTGGCTTCAGGCCAAATCTGCATATGGGACTGAACCACAGGTGGTATAGCAGGAAAGAAGACTCCTTAGACTGAAGTCAACTGCTAATTCCATGACCAAGATGAGAGTCTAAGTTGGACGACATCAGCTGTGGTCTTACCCGGAGAAAGATGGCTTCTGCCAGGACTACTTGTCCAAGATACACAATGCATGATTGAATACTTCTCCAACTTTCAACCCAGATATTAGATATTGGCATGCACTCAAAATATGCAGAGGGAGCTGGTAAGGTGCTCACTTGCGCAGTGACCCTATACCCACACCCGGTCATAGGAATGCTACTGCTAATGAAGATGATTATTATTATTATTCCTTCTGCACCTGACCACTGACAATCCCTTCCTTATTTTCAGTGCATCTATATTATAAACGTGCTAACCCTCGTCTACCAGTAATGTCCGACATCATTCTTGTCAAATTCTGTTTTCTCTATGAGAATGTTAGTTCTTTTCTCACCTTTTTCCTTTTCAGGGTTCAAATGGCAATCGTATTTGTGATAAACAGTTTTAATGCAGTTCCTATAAAAATTCTGTTTTCTCTATGAGAATGTTGCTTTTCTACCTTCTTTCAGGGTTCAAATGGCTCGTCCAAGCAGTGCACGCCCGGCACCTCCAAAGCAGAGGAAATCAGAGGTCATCCCAACTGATCCAATTATCCAGTATGTTCACCTGTTCAAAACAATTTCATATATATTATTACAATTGTCTCCTCCTTTCACTTATTACACTTGTCCCCCTTCCCTTCATTTATACACCTGCCTTCCACCTTCATTTATTACACTTGTCTCCCCTCCCTTCATTTATTACTCTTGTCCCCCCTCCCTTCATTTATTACTCTTGTCTCCCTCCCTTCATTTATTACTCGTCTCCCCTCCCTTCATTTATTACACTTATCTCCCCTCCCTTCATTTATTACTCTTGTCTCCGCTCCCTTCATTTATTACACTTGTCTCCCCTCCCTTCATTTATTACACTTGTTGCCCCTCCCTTCATTGATTTAACTTGTCTTCCCTCCATTTATTACACTTGTCTCCCCTCCCTTCATTTATTACTCTTGTCTCCCCTGCCTTCATTTATTACTCTTGTCTCCCCTCCCTTCATTTATTACTCTTGTCTCCCCTCCCTTCATTATGACCCTTGTCTCGCCTCCCTTCATTTATTACAACTGTCTCTCTTCCTGTCATTTATTACATCTGTCTATTCACCCTTCATTTATTATGCATGTCTCCCCTCCCTTCATTTATTACACTTGTCTCCCCTCCCTTCATTTATTACACTTGTCTCCCCACCTTTCATTTATGACACTTGCCTCCCCTCCATTTATTACACTTGTCTCCCCTCCCTTCATTTATTACACTTGTCTCCCCTTCTTTCATTTATTACTCTTGTTCCCCTCCCTTCATTTATTACTCGTCTCCCCTCCCTTCATTTATTACACTTATCTCCCCTCCCTTCATTTATTACACTTGTCTCCCCTCCCTTCATTTATTACTCGTCTCCCCTCCCTTCATTATGACCCTTGTCTCTCCTCCCTTCATTTATTACACCTGCTTCCCCATCTTCATTTACTACACCTGTCTCCCCCACTTTCATTTATTACACTTGTCTCATCCCTTAATTTATTACACTTAATTCCTCCCTTCATTATGACACTTCTCAATCTTCTCTTCATTTATTACAACTGTCTCTCTTCCTGTCATTTATTACATCCGTCTATTCACCCTTCATTTATTATACCTATCTCCCCACTGTTCATTTATTACACTTGTCTCCTCCCTTCACTTATTACCCTTTTCCCCTCCCTTCATTCTGACACTTGTTTCACCTTCCTTCATTTATTACACTTGTCTCTCCTCCTTCTTAATTACACTTATTTCCTCTCCCTTCATAATGAAACTTTTTCCCCTCCCTTCATTATTACACTTGTCTCCTGGCTCCATTTATTACATGTGTCTCTTTCCTTCCTTCATTATGACACTTGTCTTCTCCCTTCATTATGATACTTGTTTCCCCGACATTCATAATTACATTTGTTTCCCATCCCTTCATAATTGCACTTGTTTCTTCTTCCTTAATAATAACAACACTTGTCTCCCCCCCATTCATTTATACACTTGTCTCCCTAACCTTTTTAATTACTCTTGTCTCCGTTCCCTTCTTAATTACACTTATTTCCCCTACTTTAATTTATTACTTATCTCCTCCTTTCATTTATTACACTTGTCTCCTAACTTCATTATGACACTTGTCTCCTTCCTTTATTTTGACTCTTGTCTCTTTCCTTTATGACACTTGTTTCCCTTCCCTTCTTTATGGCACTTATTTCCCATCTCTTCATCATTACACTTGTTTATTCTTCCTTAATAATTACACTTGTCTGCTCCAGCTCATATGACACTTGTCTCCTCTCCTTTCTTTATGGCACTTGTCTCCCCTCCCTTCATTTATTACACCTGCCTCTCCACCTTCATTTATTACACTTGTCTCCTTTTTAATAATTAGTTGTTTCCCATCCATTCATTTATTACACTTGTCTGTTCCTTTCATTATGACACTTGTCTCTTTTCATCATTATGACATTTGTCTCTTTTCATCATTATGACACTTGTCTCTCATCCCTTCTTAATTACACTTGTTTCCCCTCCCTTCATTATGACACTTGTTTCCTCTCTTTATAATTACATTTGTCCCCTCCCTTCTTTCAATAACTGAACAAATACAAAATAACTTTTCTTTTCAATGAATGTTTCCGTATTTAGCTCTTTAAAGATGAAAAATATCCAACATGACTTTTCCTTCTTGTGTTTAACAAACTTAATTCTATCAATTTATTTTGGTGAATGTTACTTGAAAATGATATTTTAATAAAACAATTATTTGAAGCTTGTTTATACGAGTGAGTCAAAATATAAAAACATTGAAAGAAGTGGAAGTTGATTCCAATCAGTCTTCCCGTCAAGATTATTCAGTGTTGCTTGTTATGACTGTTTAGATTGCTGTCTGGTTCTACACGTTAAAATATATGCGACTATTATAGTTTTTGTAGCTACCAATTTATTTACCGATAATATATAAAAGAGGGTAATGACATTTTCACAGCATGATCTGAACTCATTTTCTGTGGACGTATTGAGTCAGGAGTAATTTCTGTTTTTTCAGAAGCAATTAAAATAACGAATATATCAGCCTTACCATTAATCATATGTGGCAGTTAAGAATAAATTTGCAGTCCGTATGACGAGGTTCAGTGCAAAAAATCAGTGCACTAAGATAAATCTCTACAATCGAAACCAAAAGCTGAGGTATTATTTACTTAAAGTTCTTAAAATGCAAGGAAACACTAAATGCACATTAGACGTCCTGCAGCTGTAACATGTCCATAAATGTTTGGTCAGAAAGCACCAGACGCTCATCAATAGGTAAAATGTTGTTCTCTTCTGTAACAACAGCAAGAATAATGCAGAAAAAAAATTGGTACTCAATTTGAAACCCGACCCACCATATTCACTAAACTGTGCACCAACCGATCATTACTGATCACCAAAAGATTCTTTGAGGGGGAAAACTTTCTCTAATGAAAACCAAATTCAAGAGTTTGTTGAGAACTTTTCACATCAAAATTTTCAGAGTTTTACTCACAAGGCATTGAAGAGCTGCTTGATAAGTGGCAACAAGTCATTGCAATTAATGGTGAATGTATAATAGAATAAAATGTAATTGTAACACATATGTCAGTGTATAAAGTGGCCTTTTAACCTTGAAAAATCCCTCCCCCCAAAAAAAAATAGGTGGCCATCTTATGCTCCAAGTATAAAATGTGAAACTTAAATCCTTAGCATTGGGAGATTTTTGATAGTAGGCTAACCCCTGCCTCAACTTCTTTTTTGAAATGATATTGAACAGAAACGCAACAAAATTCTTGCAATCTAAAAATACTTTCTGGCTTGAAATAACCAGCAAAAGATTGGTAAACCCTAAAAAAATGGGCATCAAAGATTTCAAATGCTTTTGTCCTTGTGCCAGACTAAGCTTGATAAATATGTAGTTTCTTGTTTAATATCAATTTACTTTTGTTTTGAATTCAATTACTAGATGATGAATAAATTATAGCTTAAAGTTTTCTTGTGGGAAGACCTGCCAAGCCTGGCTGATTGTTGAGGAGGCTGAGGGTGTTATTTGTTCAGTTTATTAGTGTGCCTCTAATTCTTGCTCAAGTATTTCATTTAGATGTTTCATTTGTCTGTGTTTTTTTTTTTTGTTCTTTGCCAATAGATCCTCTATTACCAGTCATCAGACGTGTAGGCTGTTCTGTTTCTTGCAAATGAAATGCACGCATTTGTGAAATATTAATTAATATCTTGGAAAATTATGTCTCTTCTTCCCATTTATAGTAGAAGCATCAGTGTTGTTAAAGTGATGCCTCCAGTATGATGTTACCTGAGATTATTACTTTGCCATAAATATAAGAGAATTTCTGAGATGAGGAATTACCTTGTCATTCATTTGCCCACATACACTTATTTGGACTGGTCTATATTTGATTATATTATATATATATATATATATATATATATATATATATATATATATATATATATATATATAAATTTGTGTATTTAGGCAGCAATCCTTCTTTCATGCAACATTTCATTGAATACCACAGACAAGGTGTGTTGATTTAGTTTTTTATACAATTTCTCATGTGATCTACTAATTTTTTCTTTTCAGATGATAACTTATATAAAAACTGTCTGAATGTTCTTTTTATCCAAGTGCTTTCGGCTATACATTTAACCATTTTCACAGTTGAAATATATTAACTGTTAATAAGAAATAGTTTGTTTTCATGTATGTCTTTATATAATGTTTTCATTTTCAAAACACAGTCAAGATATGTCCATGTTCATAGTTTATATTAAGTGTTGTTTTTTTTGCTTTTATCAATAAGGCTTCCATTATTTTTAGCCTTTTTTTTTGCATGTAGATGATGGTATTATATTTGTGTTGTCAACAAGTATGTAACAAATAGGGTCCGATAGGTCTCCATGAATATTTAAATGAGATCTAATTGAGCTATGGTCAGAAAGATGTAGAGTGAGTCTTCATGTCAAACATGTTGTAGTGTTGCCTATATAATAATTTACGAATTTTGATTATATATATAATCAATGGTGGCATCCTAAATTTCAAGTAAGCATTTCTATAAAGATTAAAATTCTGTTCTCATCATATTTCTCTTCAGGAGAATGATGCTTTTTTGGCTCTAGTGTCATCAGACGTGTTATGGTTTCTTAACCACATTCGAACTGAATTGCTGCAGTTCCAAAGATCCGGTGGAAGACCTATCAAATTTATGACTAGAAAATTTGTTACTTTTTTAATTTCAAAACGGTAGATGAGCATGTGTCTATTAGAGTTTTACTAGGTGTGTGTGTGAACATTGCCTAACAAACATTTTACCTAGAGCATTGGCTATTAATATATAAGATTATTTTTGGATAATCCAACAATCACTAAACTTTTATAATTTTATGAATCAGTTCATGTAAGCCAGTATGAACTTGCAGGATGTCACCACTATATATATATATATATATATATATATAGAGAGAGAGAGAGAGAGAGAGAAAGAGAAAAAGTAAGAAAGGATGTTCTGCCATCCAAGCTTCTTCAGTTTTTTGTTTTTTTTAATACTAATATTCAACAAATACAAGGCCCAAGTGTCACTTGAGGTAGAGGGTTATTGTGTGGCATTGTATGAGTGTAAGAAAGCAGTGAAGATCATGGATTATGCAGGAAAGATAACAATTAACCTTAGACTTGAATTGGTCAAGATTATAGTGATTCGGAAAACATCCTGCCAGGAGTCTCTTCCACAAAGCGGTAGTTCTTGGGAAGAAGTTGTCTGAATTAAACTTATTTCTTACTTGATTCATTTTCTATGGCTTATTAATCCATTGCAGGTTATTTAAAAACAAATTATTTTGAGATTGTGAGAAGTTTTATATTTTTAGTTATTTTTTTTGAAATACTAATGATTTAGTGATACAAATTTTACTAATTAACCCATAGCTGGAGAGAGATGAGGTATTTGTGCATAAGTAAAAAAAAACAAAGCCAACTAGAATTGGAACTTGGCTCTCTGATTAACAGTTCTGAGCCATTATTCATTACAACACCCCATATATTCAAGCTTGCAGCACCTGGTATTCCCAAGTGGTCACCCATCTAGGTATTGACCAAATTCAATGTTGCTTAACTATGGGAATCAGGAATCAATGTTTCAATGTGATATGGCGTAAAATTTGTGTATATGTGTAATATATTGAAATTATATCCAAAATGTATATGAATTGCATCATATATATATATATATATATATATAGTTGAAGATCAAATGTAGATTAAACAGATGTGGATATGAATTTGACAAGATAATGAGATAAAGAACAAGTAGGAAACGTATCTCAATCTAACATGTTTTACTTTTATTAAAGCTTCGTCAGAGATTGAGATAGAAATGAAAAAAGCAAAGAGGAAGACTACTGGTATGTTAAGATTTTTGTTTACTTCTCATTGGTCAGATACATATCACATGTATAAACACATTGGATAATAAATAAGATATAAATAAGTGTGTGAAACATTTTAGATGTTAAAATGTTTGATAGTGTAAGCGTGTGTATGTAAGTTGCCTACAGATCCATTATTCATGCGTCCTGTATATGATGATAAACTACATTCGCGTCCTGGATAAGACGATAAACTATGTCCAACCACAAGGCTTCTGATTAGGAGGTTTTGAGGAGCGTGGAACCACCTCTTAATTGCTGGTGTCCCCAGTTCAACCTTGACCCGTAGTGGTAGCACCTGTTAGGGTCCCAGTTATGGGTAAAAATAGTTAACCCACAAACTGGGGTCAAAACACTATGAAAATGTAAAAATAGGTTTTAGTACCAGAAATACTTTGTAAAAATTATTACCAACTATAAACTTTTGAAGAAAAAATATTACCAGCAATACATTATTACCAGCCATACATTTTTGAAAAAAAATATTACCAGCAATATATTTAAAAAAAAAAAAAAAAAAAAAACATTACCATCTATAAAGTTTTTGAAAAAAAAAAAAGGATTATCAGAGATACATTTTTGGGAAAAAAAAGATTACCACTTGTACATTTAAAAAAAAATTCTCAGCAATACATTTTTGAAAAAAAAAGATATCACCAGCAATAAAAGTCTTGTCAGAATTAAATAACCCATTGAGATATTGATATGCCATAAAACAAAACAAACCAAACCAAACCATCTATTATTCATGAATCTAACTTCTGTCTATCTACTACATAGAATAATGAAAATTTACAAATCCTTTTCAAAATATACACCTGACAGCATGCTTTAACGATAAATCCAACCAAAACATGATTATTACAATATCTTGTTGCGTCTCACCAACCCACACAGTGGTGATGATGACAACAGACATTCCCCCCCACACACACATACATGAGAATATAAACATCCAACCAAATACAAAATTATTGCAACATCTTTGCTACATTTTTGAGGGTGACATCTATAGACACACACACACACACATTTATACACTTACATGAATTAATGTTACTGTCCAACATATACCTAGACAAACAAGTATTTCTTTACATACACACACTTATGCTGCCAGACATTTTAATGTCCAAAATGTTCCTCACACATATTTATATATTATCTATTGTATTTATACATGTGATATGTATCTGACCAATGAGAACTAAACAAAAATCTTAACATACTAGTACTGTGTCTTTGCTTTTTCCAGTTCTATCTCGATCTCTGTTGAAGCATTAATAAAAGTAAAACATATTAGTTTGAGATATGTTTCCTACTTGTTCTTCATTTTATTTTGTTTTATATATATATATATATATATATACATATATATACACACACACACACACATATATATATATATTGCATATATAGTCTTGGTGTTAATAAAATAGTGCTCAATGTAATACAACAGAGCTACTAAGTATATATTAGTAAATATACTCATTATCTCTCACTGCTAGCACAGCTTGGAGTTTCATGCTGTTTAATATTTGTTTTTAAATAAGAACAAGTAAGCTCCCTTTAATTAAAAATTAATATTCACAACTCCAAGATAATTTTTTTTACACACACACACACACACACACATATATATATTAAGTAATTCATTGAGTCTAGAAGAAACCTCAACAGAATGCAGAAAGCACTGGACGGCCGTTTCATCCTATATTTGGGAGTCATCAGCAGTTTCTATCATTTGTATATATATATATATATATATATATATATATATATACACACACACACAAATCCTGTTTATTTTAAATGCCACATATAATCTTTAAAATTAAAAAACTGCAATCCTAGTATAATATATAACTGTGCCAACATTGCCATAACCAGATATATTCTTTAAAATTTAAATTACGTAATGGCCAGTACATATTCCCCACCTGAAGATATGTGTTGTGTATGAAACTCCAAGTCGTGTTAGCAGTGAGCGATAATATATATATTTATGAATATATATGTGATAGAAATTATTAGGAGGATTTGAGATAATCATAATTAAGTAATTCATTGAGTTTTAGAAGAAACGTCAACAGAATGCAGAACTGGACAGCCATTTTGTCCTATATTTCTATCATTTGTATATCCTTGCTTGAACTGGCTTTAAATTCTCTGGATGGAGCAGCTTGGGGATAGAAGACATTCAATGGCTGTTCAGTGCTTTCTGCATTCTGTTGAGATTTCTTCTAAGACTCAAGGAATTACTTAATTACATATATATATGGACAATTAAATAAGCAATCAGTAGGTAAAAATGTTTTGCTGCATTCTTTGAAATGGTAATGCTGGAGTTAAATGCATTGGTTTTATTTGATATTTCTTAAACTATCTTTCACCATTATTTATGTTGGAAATTTTTAGGGGAAGAATTATAATCATTACATGCCAACATGTTCAGCTCGGTTGGTATATTCATAATGTACCCTCAGGCTTTCTTCAGGTATCCGTCATCATAATTGATAACCTGAGTTAGAACACTCATACAATTCTAGCACCTGAGTATATATATTCATACCATTTTACCACTTGAGTACAGCCACTCATACAATTCTATCACTTGAATAAAGACACTCATACAATTCTATCACTTGAGTAAAGACTCATATAATTCTATTGCTTGAGTACAGACAATCATACAATTCTATTACTTGAGTAAAGACTCATATAATTCTATCACTTGAGTACAGACACTTGTACAATTCTATTACACTCATACAGCTCTATCGCTTGAGTGCAGACACTCATACAATCTCTGTGTCAGGTAGTGTTGAAAATTTTGCTTCAATTTGGAAGAAATGGACAGACGGCACAAAGCTGAATAAGACTGATGAGTATTAAATCATCTAAAGCATTGAAGGTGGAATGAGAAAAATGCCCCTCCCCCCCATTGACTGAATAAAGGGTTTGGTTTAAGATTCCAAGGAGGTTACTGAGTACAATGACAGATGCCTGAAGGTGGCCAGAGAGTACAATTGCTGAAACATGGTGAGTATAATATCATCCTGGTCTGAATAGAAAAACCAATAAGAATCTCTTTCATCAATTAACAACTTGTCGTTATAGATTAGGATCAGGAAGACCCACGAATGTCATAACAGACGATGCCCAAGAATCAGATGAAGATGAGCAATTTATTGTTGAAGACAATACACCTTTGCAGACAAAGTCATCCTTGGTAAGTTATCAACCTGAATGCTAGTCAAATGCTTAGACAATTAGTCAGATTGTCAGCATTTTTTTAAACTTGAAGGCCAAGAAAATAAAACCATGGATATTTTTATGTAACACTAACATTACATATATTTAAATGCTTATTTTAAATGTGAAATATCCATGAAAAATTTCACAGTTTTCCGCATATGAATTTTCTGATGAATCATAATTCTTAAGTTAATGATTGAATACTCTCCTTGCGACTTCTACGACTATAAAATACCCTTGAAAATTCCCATATTACATCATTAAATATTTGACCTTAATAACTTTAATAAAATATTACAATAACCGTCATAAATATGAATGCAGGTCATTATTTAAAGAAGTAAGAGGGTACAAATGTAAAGATTTGAAATTTACAGGTTTTTCCATTTCATTGAAGTAAACATTAAATACAAAAGAGTGTCTGTCTTTTCCTCACTGAAACCGAAACAACGTCTCTGATATGTCTTTTCTGTCTTTCCTTGCAATCAAAATTTAATAGTCCATCATTCATGAGGCATTCACAGGGCTTAGCATATGTGCTAACTAACTAAAGAACCAGCAAAATTATAATATAATGTTATTAACACTTCTGCTATTGTGAATATCTTTATGAAACTTAAATTGCATGACAAATCTTGGAGAATATAAATGTTAAACGTCAAGTTCTTGGTGAGCAAAATCTGGACTGAGATGGTTTTACAAGAATGTGAACATTTACTTTTTGGCAATTGTGTGCAAATGATACTTTTTTTCTTTTATAGACAAAGGAACCTGATGCCGAAGATGAGACTGAACATGGTAAGTACAGCTTATGCTGATATCTCACATGGATAACAGCTTTACCAATAATGGAACTAAAAGAAAAATGTTAATATTTTTATCAGTTAAATCTTGTTTGTTTCTCCATGTTCTTCGAGAAGAAGCTTTTTGTTTTTCGGCAAATTTCTGAATCTGCTTTTTAGCTTCATTTGTCTGTGGATGAAGAACTCCTGTTGTTAGTTTTTGATAAGTTCTCATCTTATTATTGTTCTTATCACTACTCACCAAGCAAAATAAATCCCTGATTATGAGAGGAAATATGGCAAAACTAAAAGGCAAATGTATCTTCCAGCAAGAAAGAAACTTGTATTCAACAATCTGGGATACATTAACCACTGCAGCCACTGGCTAGACAGAACACAAATCTACAATCATATTATCACTTTAAGCATTTAATACTCATTGTAAAATCTGTTAGTATTTTTTTCACTCTGTACAAAGCCCAAGAGCCACTCAAGGTAGAGGGTTACAGAGTAGGAGTCAGAGCTTATGAGGATATATATGGAAAATAATTGTTAACTATAGACTTAAACAGGTTACAATTGTAGTGGTCAGATAAGCATTCTCTTGGGAGTTGTTTCTACAAGGCTGTGGTTTGTGAGAAGAAGCTTCTCAAATGGAACTTACAGCTCACCAAAGGAATACAAAGAGAATGAGGGTGGTTCGTTACAATGTCTGTAACATGTCAGGTCTTAGTCGTGAAGGTTACGACTGGTGCAACTGAGGAGTGTAGTTTATCTGAATACTTACCATGGAAATAGTGATTGAGCAATAAGAGGCAAGAAAGGGGTTGTAGAGTGGAAAATAATTCATCAGCCACAAGGACACAAATGCTTTTGGACTCTATTGAAACTGGAAAGTGAAAACTGGGCAGCAGCCAACCCTATATGGCAGCATTTCTTCATTTTTGGCCTGATCTGGTTCTTGTAAAAGTAGAGGATAGCAGAAAGAGTTAGGTACTTGCTAGAAAGGAGCCAACCATTTTTCCAACATCTACTTGAGGTCTGGGTTGATTTTAAGTCTCAATAGGCACTCAAGGCATGTAGCCTCCCTCAGGGAATATCTGCTCATTGCAATTGGTGAAAGTTCTGTGTCCAATCGGGACTCTAAAAATTTAAATTTAAATAAAAATCTAATATAAAAGTAAAAATCTGGAATTTAGTATAAAAATTAAAATCTAATATGAATTATAAAAAGTTAAATAAAAATCCAATGTTAATTATAAAAAAAAAATCTGTACTTACTATAAAAATAAAAAATCTGTTATGAATTATAAAAATCTAGATAAAAATCTAATATTAATTATGAAAATAAAAATCTGAAATTACTATAAAAATTTAAATAAAAGTTCAATATTAATTATCAAAATAAAAATGGAATTTACTATTAAATAAAAAATCCAATGTGAATTATAAAAATCAAAATCTGATATTTACTATAAAATCAAATATAAATATGATATTAATTATAAAAAATTCAAATAAAAATCTGTTATCAATTTTAGAAATCAAATAAAAGTCTGATACAAATAATAAAAGTAAAAATTCAGTATTAATTACAAAAATTCAAATAAAAAACCCACCGCTCACCCCCTGTTCCACTTTTGAGATATTGGACATTAATGGGTTAAATGTTCATGTCATGTTATTGCCGTCTCATTCCAGTCTTTGTCACTGGTTCAAATAAATCAATGTAACAAAATTTACATCTCAGAAATTCACAGAAATACAGCGGCTGAAACAAACAAAATGAAGAAACATGTCTTTAAGAATGATTGTGTAATAGTAATGACACCAAGTCAGAGAAATTCAGGTGGAAAGAAGAGCAGAGAAAATGTTAGAAATTAAAATAAAAATTAATTCCTAAGTTTTATATCTTGGCATTAGCAGGATGTAGATTAATATCTGGACAAAAGTGTAGATATTGAGACAGAATGGAAAAATGACTCATAGTGGCTGAGGAACTTTTTCATGTTGTCTTATCTCCATTTAGAAAACAAATTTTGGAATTATTTACTTGGCAATGATGTCATTAAAACTTTTCTGGTGTTCTTGTTATCATTGTGATTTCTGACTTGAAGTGAACTGTGTTGGTTTTTTACTTCCTTCTCAGGACAAGAATTCAAAATGGCTTTGATGCTGTGCAGTTATATGAATGCATCAAGTTTGGATTAAAGTGATCCTTTAAATGGGTCCAGTTTTTAATTTGAATTGCAACTCTAGTTATTACTTGCTGTTGACCAATAGTTGTGTTGCTTGATCCCATTAGGACTTTCTTTCCCTCTTCTTCTGTTTCTTCTCTCATTTATTCAATTTCAATCTTTGTTCTTGATCTATGAACCTTTCACTCTAAATGGTCAGTCGTCAGCTCTGTTGAATAACTAATGCTCACTGTTGAAACGTTGCTCAATTTTTGTTTTTCCTCTCGCTTTAAACATCAGTATTTGGCTAATTTGTTTATCTTTCAACTAAGATGTTGCTACATATGATTAAAAGAAAAAAATCACCTCCAAAACTAAATTTTTGACTTAACTTTTTATTGTAGTTTCACAGTGGAGGCTTGTATTTGTACTAAGTCGGTCCTAAAATAGGTTCGACGTACAAAATGTTAGGAACTTGATATTTATAGGTAATGACGCAGAGAAATCTAGTCGTGGTCGCTGATACTTTAATATCCGACTAACGGTCGTCCGACATCGACGGACTGACCAACTCCCTGAGTGACTGCTACTACTCCTACTTATTATAGGTGGGAGAGTCTATTAACTATAGAATAGGTGTGTTCCACTATAACACTTTTTTTTAGAAAACACAGATTTTAACATTGTCTACTGTCTTCGAAATATTATCGAGTGTCGGTTGAACTCTTCTGTATTGGCCAATCCATTCTTTGGTCTTTTTTCATATGTATACTTTGCAAGAAAAAAAAACAAACTAAACTATTTACCAAAGAAAATAAAGCAGAATGATTTCCTGGAGTAGCCAAAAAAATTGTCACTAACAGAACTGGAGAGTTCAATTGATCAAACAAAATTTGAAGTTATTTCTTTATATAAACTAAAAAATAATTTTACTTTAACTCTCTGATAGAATAAAGTGCCATAAACATTTCTTTTACATTCTAAAATGATTTTATAACTATTTTTTTTCTGTACCAAGTGGGAAGAATTTGAAATCGTTGTAATTATTATTATAAACAAAACATGTGCCTTGAAGCAAATTGTCTGACAACCAAGAACGATAATTGTCCAAGTCCTATTTATAAACCTTATTTTCTTGAGAAGTTATTCGTAAATAAACAAGACAATATCCACCTTTTCTTTTACTGATGTTACCTTGTCTGTTGATATCCTTTCAATTGTTAGGCTTGAGGCTATCTATTCAGTTGGTCATATTTCAAATCTGCTAGGCTTGCTGAGTTTGGGGAAATTATTTTAGCAGTCCTAATTGCAATATATTTTGCCTCTGGTGATTCCTCAAAATCTGAGCAGACACAGGCACGATTATGACTTTTTTTTTTATTTATTTTAAATTCTTCATTAAGATATTTTCAGATATTAAGTTTGAGACAATTAAGTTCACTATATTTTACAGAGAATATCTTTGATCTTAGATTTTATTTATTTTTTTAAATGCCATGTCCCACCAGTTATGGCTCTCCACAGATTCTTTTACTTTATCATCTGTGAATTGCTATGCATTCTTTGGAAAGATAGTGGGGTGTTTTCCCATTGCCATTTTCCTTCTTTGCCACCCAAATCAAAAGAGCCCAATCTACTCTACTGTTTTACCCATAGTTAGGGGAGAAGAGAATAACTAATGCCTTTTTCAAAGCATTAGTGTGACAATGAATACAACAGACTAGTGTTGGATTTAAATTTGATTTGGTGTTTCCACTTTCCACAATATTTATTATGCTACACATGCATCTTACTAAAACATTAAAATGTTTAAAAAACAGAAACATGTCAAAGTGACTTCTGTGACTGAATCTCTATCTATAAAAGGCAGGATGTGCGTGTGTGTGTGTGTGTGTGTGTAACGAAAGCACTGCCGCAATTTTCGACAGATTTGCACCAAAATTTACATGCACATGCACCAAGTTAGCGGGAAGGCCAAGACCGACTTTGCATTTCTCAACTCCCATCGATAGTGGAAATAATCGACTTTTTCAAGCTTCTACAGCAGTTTTCACGTAGCTTGCGGCCATTTTGTACTGGCCAGAGTGAGAGCCAATAGCTGGCTGCCAAGAATAGGCAGGAAGATTCTATTGGCCATCGTGAGAGCCAACAGCTGACTGACATGAATGTTAACTAGCATGCTAGCATGCAAAAAAAATCGATAGCTGCATTCGTCACAAGTGGGAAAAATTTAAATCTGCATGGCACTTTACTCCTATTGACTCATTTACTTGCTTAAACTCAACGTTGATTCTGATTTCACAGAACTGGGTTGGGTGTGAAAAAGTATTTGTTGTTAACATTCTTTTTTCATTTATTTTTACTAGTTACGAGTCCTTTTTTAAAGCTGACCGTTTTGTGTTCATTTTGTTTAGTTCTTTTTTCGTAACAGATTTAATGTTTAGTATAGAGCTTAGAAAAAATTTGCAGTGTGAGATAGGCAAGAAGTAAGGCATGTAGCAACATCAGCACAGCAAAGGGCACTCCTTTAAAGGCAAGGAAGGGCAAAAATATTTTAAATCAAGTGATAGTGGTTGCTGTATGAGTTGTATGATTTTTTAATCAAGCACGGGCAATGCCGGGCCATGCTGTTAGTTTATATATATAATAATCCCATTATGTCACTTCTTGACCCTTACCTTAATTCCTGACCAATGACAATTCCTTTCTTCTTTATTTTTTATGTATTACTTTAGTAAAATCAAGCATATTGTGATTATATAATATTAATATTACATTTATATAATAATAATAATACTTATCAATGTACTTAAAATATAAAGGGATATTAAGGAGTCAAGCATGGCTTAGAGTTAAGAGGGTAGGAAGTTGTAGAGAACCATGATCACATGTGTCCTGAAAGGAAAACACATAAAAGAAGAGTGGATGTGTGGGTGGTGTAATAGATAGCAACTCAGAATAAAAAATTGGAGAGCTGAGTTCTAATTTTGGTTGGGTTACATACATACACTAACTCATAAATACCCTTGGGAAAGATATGAATCCATCTCCTCCCCCTTAAGCTATGGGTTAAATAGTAGCACTTGTTTCTTGAAAAATAAAAAAAACATTGTTATTCTTAAAAATATTGTTAATGCAATGTTCACTCACAAAAAAAGAATTATTCTTACACTCCAAAATATGTTTCAGCTTTAAATAACCCAAAAAGGGTTGGTAAGACATCAAAAAACATAAAAGAAGAAAGATTGTTTCAATAATACTTGCAATTAATTCCTGACCACTGACAATCCCTTTCATTCTTGTTTTCAATGCATTTCTATCATCAAAGATCAAAGTATAGATTTTCATTGATCTGTAAACAACCTCTATTTTCTTGCCTGTGGACCTACAATATAATCTGCATATCTTATCTCCTCCACTTATGTTCATACAACCTCATTTACTAACCACCTACTTGAGTGGCTCTTGGGCCTTGTACTAGGTGATCAATCAGTAAAAAAAAAAAGAAACAGAGAAACATAGCAGTAGTAAACAATGAGAATATTTGAAAAATTCACATGTTTTGAGATACAGACAGAAATAAATGAACCAATTACGAGGTTGGCTGCTAGGAAAATTGGTTCCTTCTGTTGTCTTCAACAATTTTTCTTTCCAGAATTTATCTTACAGACAGGTGCTATGAGTAAATTGTGAATATTTTATATTTTTGATTTCACATATGCTCATTGTTTTTGATTTTGTCAGCAGCACAGTATAGTAGGGTCAGTTGGGCACCATCTGTGAGAAGAAGAGCACCCTCAGGCAATTCACTCTGCCAGAAATTTGGAAGGGGAATGCTATGCTGCTTGGCATTTATGATGGAAGCTCCAATCCATACATCTCAGAGTGTTTGGGTGTCATGTTGATAAGTACAATGTAGAGGATTTGGAAACTGTTGGATGATATATCCAGTCAACATCATGGTGTTTGAAATGATCACTACTTTCTTTTTATGTGCCATGTCCTTTCAGGATGTAGGTAATCATGGCTCTCCACCTCCGTCTATCCCTTGCAGCTCTCAGCAAGTTCCTTCCCTCTGCTTCCTTCCCCACGTTCTATCCACCTGCTCAAGGTCGTCAGGTATGTCACGTGCTGCTTTCCCTTGTATCTCTTTCCTTCTATTTGTCCTGTGAGTATCAGATTCTCCAGGTCCTCCTTCCTCATTATGTGTCCCAGAAACTTCAGCTGCCTCTTCCTGATGTTAAGTATAAGCCTTCTCCTTGTTTGCAACCCTTCTAAGCTCTCATCGTTGCTCATACACTCAGTCCATGATATCCTTAGCATCCTTCTGTAGAACCAGTCACCTCGAGTCTCTTCTTCATCTTTGAGGAAATCATCCAGCATTCGTTGCAATAAAGAAGGACAGATGTCACGTAACAGTTCAGTATTCTTTCTTGTCTTTGTTACCAACGAAATCCTTCTGTCTTGCAGTACTCTGCCCAGCTTTCAGAATGTGTCCTTGGCCATCCCAATACGTTTACGGATCTCAGTGTCGTACTTACCATCCTCTGTGAAGATGCTTCCCAGATATTTGAACTTCTGCGTCTGCTTGATTCTAGTGTTCTCGACCTGCAAATTGCAATTTGGGCTCATCCTCTTACTGACAACCATGCACTGTTATGTAGTTTGTGCTTTGTTCTTTCTTCTCACTCTCTGTCGTTACCTTCTGTAGGAGATTTTGTAATTTCTTTTTTGTGTCTGCTATCAGTACTGTGTCATCTGCATATCTTATGTTGTTAAGATTGTGGCCGCCAATGCTGAATTCCAGTAGGATCTCCAATTCTCTCAGAATTGCCTCGCTGTAGAGGTTGAACAGTTTGGGTGAGAAGATGCATCCTTGCCTTAACGCCTCTTTCTATTTTTGTATATTCACTGACCTTGTTCCCTATGCACATACATGCAGTTTGCTGCCAGTATAGGTTATTGATTATTCTGATATCTTTCTTGAATATATCGAGGTTGCTGAGCAGTTCCATCAAATCCTTGTGGTGTACTTTGTCGAAGGCCTTTGCGTAGTCTATGAAACATAGATACATGTCCTTCTGCATTTGTATTGCTCTTTCTGATAACATTCTGAGCATGAATATCGTGTTCCTTGTTCCACTAGTGATGTAATTTTCACTTTTGTGTAATTTAAACGACAATTTATCCATCGCACCCTGTATTTACAAGTCTGCCATTTGTCTGTGCTTTGAATATAGCTACTTAATATAGTCTGGTGCTCCTGCTATATATTTAGAAATTCTTGATAAAATCCAAAGAAGAATCTGCAAGGTTATTGGTCCAAACTTGCTATCCTGCTCTTCAGTCACTTCCCTACTGCTATAATGTAGCTTTCCTCTGCCTTTTCTATAAATACTTTCATTCTGATGAACTTTCCGCTATGGTATCTATAGTTTATGACTTTAAGTGCAGTATTAGATTGGCAACAAAGTCTCATCATTTTACAGTTGAACTGATTATATGTAACCGTAAGTAATGCAATGTTCTTCTTGATTACTCTCCTTTTGTTTGCACTCCTTAGTAATGTTTTTTTTTTCTTTCACGCTCATGTCTTAGTGGCCTTATTGCCTTGCTTGGGGTGAAATGATAAAAAAAAATTAAAAAGAAATTCATTGGCTTAGAAACATAATTCCTCAAATGAGAAACTCATGCTACAGATTATCTTGAAGCTGACTTGACAGATGACAGGAATCTTTGAAATGTTTCTTTGCTAAATTTCTCTTCAGGTCAAAGATGTATTTTCTTTTTTTTGTTTTTAATCAGTTTCGCAGTTAAAAGATTTTTTTTTTTTGTCTGCTTCCTTACATTCTTTTTCCTTCTCGATAGGTGGTCTGGTAAAGAAAATCCTGGAAACTACAAAAGAACTTGAAGGTGCACATCAAACAGAAAAAACGGAAAAAACTCAAGTTGTAAGTAGTTGTCTATTTCATAAAACAAAAAATATCCTTCATTTTTTAACTTTTACGCATTTTCTTTTTTTTTTTTTTTTTTTTTTTTTTATGAGTTATATAAGTTTTAACAACTCAGAGATAGAAACGAACAAGTCAATTTCAGCAAGTGTGTGGTCTACCTCCCAGAGCCCTTATCCAAAATGTAGGACACATTCTTTCTGAAATGTGTAAAAGACTGTATCCTCTCTTAGGATGCAGTTGTTTATGCAATTGCATATCACAGATCGTTCTCATGCTTGCAAAACTGGATGTAGGTGTGAGGTCACATGCATCTGCACTTGGTGGATGGGAGTGAATCCAGGTCATCTCACTAGTGTAACTGGCTTATTTTGCTGGTGTGAAACTGAGTGAAAAGCCCATTCTAGCATAATACTACAGTCCCCACCACCAGTTGCAGACAGATATTCTCAAATCTTTTGCACGACCAAATGACCTTCAATCTGTTGTGAACAGGGTCATGATTTGGCTTGTTAATTTTAACGCCTCTAAAATGAAACTGTTCTCTAATCATCCTAAGTAGGCTTCTTTTTTTTTTTTGCTTTCCGCGGCCTGGTTGATGATAACCTCCTCCAGAAGAACAGTTCTCTTTCGTCTTAGTCTCACGTTGTTCACTGACATGAAGTGGAATGATTATATTAAATCAATTAAAAGAAAGTTGATTCACGATGTTGTGCGAGACAATTTTTCTTGCCAGTATCTATCTGTACATTTATAAGTCTACCATTTGGCTGTGCATCAAATATTGCTGCCAGATCTTGTCTGGTGCTTCTGTTTTATATTTAGAGAGATTCTTGACAAAATCCAAAGAAAAATCTAATGTTATCCGTCCTGACCTGACATTTTGGCTTTAGTCACTTTCCCCATCACTGTAACATAGCTTCCCCTTGCCTCTACTAAGAATATTATCACAATAGTGGTTCTGATGAGCTTTGCTCATTGGTACCTGGACTTCATGAATTTAAGTGCAGTACTAGATTGACAGTGAGGTCTTATTTCACTGTTGAAATTGCTAGTTGTAACTGTAAGTTCTATTCTAATAGTTTTGCCTCCTGCACTTCTGTCTTGTGGAACTTTCTTCTGGCTTCCTGCTTTCCTGTCAACTATGCACTTCAAGAATTTAAATGCAATATCAATCATCAGCATTTGTCTCCTTGAAGCCTGTTCTTTTATACTCCTTTCTGCTCCTTTCCCTTTTAGTAAACCCCTTTGTATCCTAGTGGCTTTTATTGCTTTGCATGGTGGGAAATGATTAAAAAAAAAATCTGACACAAGTAGAGATAGCATCTTAACTTTATGCTTTTGCAACTAACAATGATAATTTTGTGGACTAAGTCCCTTTCATTTTTATTTTGATCTGTTTCAGTTATTTCTTCATTTAAGAGATTTGCATGTACCATAAAATTTTAAAACATTTGCATATACCATAAAATTCATCATTTAAGAGATTTGCATATGCTGTAAAATTTGTCATTTAAAAGATTTGCATATGCTGTAAAATTTGTCATTTAAAAGATTTGCATATGCTGTAAAATTTGTCATTTAAAAGATTTGCATATGCTGTAAAATTTGTCATTTAAAAGATTTGCATATGCTGTAAAATTTGTCATTTAAAAGATTTGCATGTACCATAAAATTCTTCATTTATGAGATTTGCATATACCATAAAATTCTTCATTTAAGACATTTACATATGCTGTAAAATTCTTGTAATTAAGTCAGTTTAATAGGTTTAAACATTTTGCTTGTTGTTCATTTCATATGCAGCATTATTATTTATAAGTCTCAAAATATGCAATTAAAATTGTTAACATTGCTTCCATCCCTTTATACATGGCTTACTTTCATGCTGTGCTTTAAATACTAAAGTGGTTACCACTTTTTGAGCAGAAAATGAATTTATTTAAATAAGTAAGCAAGTAAGTTTAATTATAAAAGTCATTTACAATTGCTAATTTATTAAAATAAATATAAAAATATAGCCCAAAAGTCCGCAAAGGAAATGAATATCAAAACAGAGTTATTTTTTAAAATTTTGATTTTTAAAGCTGAATATACAAATTAGTTATCCACATTAATGAAGAATCAATAAATTGGGCAGGAAATGAAATACATTCTGGTAGATATAAATGTTAATGTTCATATTATCCACTGGTGCTTGTCGTTCAGACTAGAGACTGGATTATAAATGCTTGTTTTTTGGCAAGCAGAAATTTCTCACTTGGAAGATTAATGCTGCATAATCTTCCTCAACCACATCCCTTAGAGCAGTGGTTTCCAAACATTTCTTTTTCTCTGGGCCACATTTTTGGAATTAAAATTTGCTTGCATCTCACTAAATTTTATGTGATAAAAAGTACATTTAAAAAAAAAAAAAAAAACAGAGAGTGGATTAAAGGGAGATAACCACAGATTCAAAATCAGAACAATGATAACTCTCTCCTCCAAAATGTGGACCCCATTTACTATATTCTTAATACTTGATATAATGCAAAAATATCACAATGATAAAATCAATCGATAATTATTTATAACTATTTATAAATGATACTCATGTATGCATTTAAAAGTAATCCATAATAATATTTTAAATTTTGAAATCATATTTACTTTTGGCATATGAGCTTTTTGAGACTGTTTCTAAATCTTTGATTCTTTTTCATTCATTCTACTCCACCTGCTATTGTCTTCTGTTACACCTTTGAGGCATGTTGCATCATTTCTGAACTACTTCCTCCGGGTTAGTAAAAACAATATGTAGAAAAAAAAATGGAAATCTGTTTTCCTTCAAATTGGATTTGTGGTAACAAGCCTCATTGGCTAACTGCTTTCTTTGCTACTAAGTTGTTGCCCCTATTAGACGTATAGGTACTCGGAAAATATGCTTTTGTCTGTAGATGCTTATTAAAAAGGAATTTGCCTGTTTCTGTTGTTAGGAAACCTCGAGTATGAACAACATCGCATACCAGAAGCAGCGGCATTTGGTCGTGCAAAAAATTGAGAAGCTCCAAGAGAGCATCCAGACCCTGACCAAAAGTGCCAACCCCCTTGGTAAGATTATGGATTACATTCAAGAGGACCTTGACTCTATGCAAAAGGAACTTTACAGGTGGAAGCAAGAAAACATTCAGCACACAATGGCACTGAAACATGAGAAAGAGTGAGCAGAAAATCTTTTTTTTAATACTTAATTTTCTTCCTCACTCCACACACACGCACACGTCTGAAATGAGTTAAATTTACAACCATTAGACAATTATATCAGTTTACTTGATTTACTGATGGCAATGCTTAAAACACTGGTTTTTGCTCAATCACCAAAATTAAGCCACGTCGAGCTTAGTTGGTACTTAGATCGAGGGATCACTTATGAACAGCTGGTACTGTAAGCAACCTCCTACAATCGTAAATATATTTTGGCTTTAAATAACCCACAAAGAATTGATAAGCTGCAGAAAGAGATTAAATTGCTGATGGCAGGATGATCACATTTAAAATCTAAATTGTTGATTTAAATTTCTTCATTTATTAGAAAATTAGCTGTTTCCCTCCTAGGAAACATTTGGCATTCATTTATTGAGCAGCCAGTGCTGTATTAAATTTAAATTTATAAAAATCTGTCTCTTAAAGCAATTATTCAGGAAAATAGATTTCTCAAGTCCTGTAACTGCTGTCACTTTTTCCAGTATTGATGAGGGTTTCTAAAAATGACTTGCAATGTCTGCACATTTCAACTTACTCTTTTTTCCTGTTGTACAGGGCTTGTTACCAGACACGACGGAAAATTAGCACATTTAACATTTGACACACTTGTCTATTTCAATTTCATCCAAATTGCATGTGTTTTATGTATGTATATTTTAATTCAACAACAGGTAAAAAATATTTCTACAAAATTGAAAAACAAAATAGAGTCCGACATCATTAGCAGCATTTTCTAGATGATGTAGGAAAACTGTGGCATTGGTAATGGCATCTCTAGTGATAGCTAGGACATCTGCATAATCAATATCTGTCAACATTTTTGCAGGATATCGACTTGAGAGTTTTGGTGATTAAGTAAAACCTAGATGGTGATGTTTAATTAATAATAAAATTGAACAATTATAATAATATATATATATTTTCTTTTTACAGTAAAGTTCACCCTGTACAAGGCTCAGGTGTAAATCAAGTAAAAGGGTTACGTTAAGAGGCAGTTTGTATGGATAGGAGAGGAAGATAACCTGAGACCTGAACAGGTTAAGATTATAGTGATCAGGGAAACATTTTCTTGAGAGTCGGTTTCACAGATTAGTGGCTTGTGGGACGAATCTGTTCGATTGGAACTTACAGCTTCTTCCCAATGGAAAATAGAGGGAATGTGGCTGGTTTTCTAAAATGTGAATGGTTGGGAAAGTTAGAACTGGCAGAACCAAAGTATGCAGTTTGTCTGAGCAATTTCCATGGAACTAATGATTGAGTAGCGAGAAGCTTGCCACATCCCACCTGTGAAGCAGAAGTAGGAAGGTGAAACATAATTTGTCACCCACAAGAACTCGGAGACGCTTTTGAACTTCATTGACTCTAGAGAGTGAGGGTCTGGGCAGCTCTTGCCCAAATATGACAACAGTATTCCAGTTTTGGCTGGATCTGGCTCTTTTAAAGGTAGATGATATCACATGGAGTCAGGTACTTACTGGAGCTGTACAGGAAGTTAACTTTTTAACCTGCATCTTTAGCAATGGACCTACTTGAGGTCAGGTGCAAGTTTAAGGTCCAATAGCCGTTCAATGTATGCTGCCTCTACAAGGGGACATCTGTTCATCATGACTGGCTGTAGTTCATGGTCTGATCAGCAGTGATGGAATGTTTCTGCGACATTGCATGTAACCAGCCAGATTTTTCCCACCTAGTGCTAGATAAGAAGAGACGTTAGATGCCTGTCTCTCTGATTATCAAATGTTGTAGAGGTACATTTATATATCGTTATATCATTGGCATAGATGTTTACAAATGATTAGAGTATATTCATAGGTAGATCATTTATGTAAGTTGGAAAGACACTTGGTCCAAGAAGTGACCTCTAGGAGACGCCTGCGCTGACCACTAGGGCCTTGGTGGACTAGCCATTAATAACTAACTTCAAGGATCTACCTGTTAGGAAGAGTTTTATAATTGAGAAAACCCTTCCAGTGATTCTATAGCTGGTGAGCTTGCGTAGCAAACATAATACATATTATCAACAGTAGGTTTCTTTTTACCATAGATCTTATTAGGGACAATAAGAGGTTACCAACAAGTAATAATAAAATAAAACAGTTATAACATTATACTGTAATGGAAGTTATGTGATGATGTGAAGGTCCATTTTGCTGCTCTGTAACTAATGAAATTTTTTCTTTCCTTATTAAGTTGAAAACTTTCACCTTTTTCACGGAAAGGAAGCACTTTATGGCTTATCTTTTGCATATTGGAATTGCCAATAAGACTATTCTTGTGCTTAGGGACGATTATTGAGTAAAAACTTATGAATTGTTTATTTCTAGGGTTGACTATGTGTAATTGAAACTGTGAAAAGTAAAGCCAATGATAAAGAGCCGGTCATGGCAGGGGGAAGTTGTAAGTTGGGGTTGAATGCTGTTAATTATATTTTCTGTTTGAATGTTTGACTTGTGTAATATTAAAATCTCAGAAATGCTTGTCTCTTCAGAAACCGACTTCTACACTAGAGGGACGATTTTATTAGAACCTTATTGTGTATGGGCATGTGGCTTGAACTAAGGTTACTTAATCGTTGAGGGAAAAAAAAAAATCAGAGAATTCTGTTAAAAAAATGTTTGATGTAATACAGGGTGTCCAGTAAAAAATGCGGTAAATTCAGAAAGAAATTTATTTATTAGGTTGGTGCAAAAATAATGACGTAATAATGTCGTTTTTTTTTACGTAATTTTTAACGTCAAAAAACGACATTATTAAATCATTATTTTTGCACCAACCTAATAGCTATCATGATTCATTCGCAAATGGAACAATCATTGTAGATGTTTGAAATGTTTGCCTGAATGTTTAACACGAAGTTGTAAGTGTGGTAACCATATAGTGTCAAGAGGAATTTCATTCGGAGCTTCAGTTAATTTCCACTTCAATGAATCAATATCAATGATTTTACAATGACAGTTTTGCAATAGAGTTAAGACTATGCTCCAAATACAGTAATCCATAATATTCAGATGTGGGCTTTTAGAGGGCCACTGAGAGAGACGAATTAGAACTGATGTATTTTCTCAAAGAATAAATTGACACTTTTTTACTCGGCACCCTGTAATTAAGAAAATGCTACTAAACTGGGCTTGTTCTTCTATCAGCACAATATATTGTTCAATGGATGTTGAAAACAAAGGAAAAAATACTGTTGCATTTTTTGTCAATGTTACTTCTGTCTGAAGAATATTCCAGTAATAATGAAACTAAATATTAGTTAAAAAAAAATAAATACCATATTTGATAGTATGTAAGATGCACAGGTGTATAAGATACAACCCAATTTCAGCTGGGAAAATCAAGAAAAAATTAGTAATTAGTAAAATTATTAGTAAATGGTACTTTCTAGGCTATATTTATGAGGTATTATTTTGCTTAAACAAGCCATGATTCCAATTAAATGAAAAGCAATAGTAAAAAAAGAACACAAGCCTATAAAAACTTTCTTATATCCAAAGGTAAAACAAAATAAAAATCGAGCAATTATTACAATTGAGCAAAACAGTGCAGTTACCATTAAAATTTTATTCATCTTCAAATCCATAAAATTTGTCGTCTTCGTTATCAAAACTCTGATACTCATTTTCAATACTACTATCATCATTGTTAAATAATGTGTCATCTTCCATTCCATTGAGAGCATTGCAAATGCGACACTTTTTAAAAAATTTCACAACAATTTCTGGTCTAATATCCCAATCTTCACACATTCGCAGACTTGTGCAATGCTGGATCTTTATATTCTTCTTGTAAGTGTAAGGTTTTGATCAGCCATTGCCATCTAATGTGTTCCATTGCTCCTTCATGTTTAAGTCTAAGCTAATAGGTGCTTCCAGGTAGCTAATTTCAGCTGACTATTGCGAATTTTAAAACTACATATGGCATATAAGACACGGGAATTTTAAAATATATTTTTAATATTAAAAAATTGTGCCTTATATGCCGTCAAATACGGTAAATAAAATTGTGATAGATTTTAAATTTAAAAGCAGTTTGATGTTTGATTTTGTGTTTATTCTTTTAAGACATTATTATTATTAATGTGTTAACAAGTCAGTTTATAATGTTTTCACAATTATAGCATGCCAGGATTCTTCAGATATTTGTTTGCTTGAGGAAGTATCTGGGAATTTCAAATGAAACCTTTTTTATTTTCACTGAGGGAGCAGGCAACAAAGAATTCTTAAAGAAAATAGCAACAGAAAGAACAGTTCTACTGAAAATCAGGAAACAACAACTGAAATCTCATGGACACATAATGAGGAAAGAAGGCTTGGAAAACTTAACTCTCATATGGTGCATATTGAGGGCAAGAGATATAAGGGAAGGCTACTTTCCTGACAAGCTTCTGTCAATGGATGGCAAGGGCCTTAATGAAGGGAGAAAAACTGCCAAGGGACATAAGGGATAGGAAGATGTGGAGAGCTATGATTTCCTATCTCCGGAAAGGGACATGGTACATAGAAGAAGAAGAAGAAGAAGAAGAAAAGGAAGAAAAGTTTATTCCACTGTTGATGCAGGTGGATATCTTGTATTAGCTGATAGTTCGAAATTGCTTTGTCATGTTTTTCCCTTTGTTTTCCCACTGTGACTACTTTATATTTCATTTGATGGTAGATAAGTCAAAGAGGATTTTATAATCACTGGGAATTATTTGAAAAGTTATAGTATGAAATACAGTGATGTACCAAAAGTCATCTGGTCATATATATGGCTATAAAATACGTCCGCGGCAGAAAGGCCTCTGATCAAGAGATTGGAGGTTTAAGGGAGTGTGGAGCCACCTCTTAATTCCTGCTGTTCTCAGATCCACCCTGACCCAGGGTGGTAGCACCTGCTAGGGTCCCAGCCATGGGCAAATAGTGAGCCCCAAAACACAAATCAACAGTACATTTTTATATTAAAATTACCAGCAATACATATTTTATAAAAAATTTACCAACAATGAATTTTTGTAGTGAAATTACTAGAAATACATTTTATGATCTAAACCCCTCCTTGGAGGGTTATACACATTCAGATACTTGCCAGTCACAGGGATCCATCCCTGCGCTGGTAGTATATATATATATATATATATATATATATATATAACCAAGTATAGGATTGGTGTATATGGAATAAATAATCAAAAATACTATTCTTATAAGAATGCTCAATAGTAGAGTAGAGCAAATATAATTCATTCGAAAATTATAACATAAACATGATATAAAATCACTACAAAAAGAGCTATTTTATTTCAACACTTCTGGTGCCTTATCAAGTAATGGCTTTTAATGAAAAAAAAATATATATATATACAGATAAAATATCATATATATTTATTCTTTATATATTATTTTTATAGATACAAATATTTAAATAAATTCTCTGTTTTTGATAAACAGTATTAACAACATTTACTGGTCTGAATGTCCAAGAAATTTCATAGAAAATATGTGTCCTCGGACAGGAATTGAACCTGTATCCTATACGGAATCGTCACATAGCCTGACATGCTATACAGTTAGCTACAGGGAAGCATCTGGTTAGCAAGGTTGAATTACTGCTAAGCAGATAATTAAGCAGGTTAAGTTACCTCTCTACCCCCCTCTGCTTTTTATTTCTTGGGTAAGTTGACCATCTGACATGTCTTCACTTTGCGTAAATCATTTGTATCAGTCTTTAATTTAATGTCTGGCTGCTGTTGGCAGTTAACTCTTGGTCATGACCCATTTCTAAAAGAAAATATATATATATATATATATATATATATATATTTTTTTTTTCTTTTTGCTTAGCTTGAATTGAACATAGGTCATATTCAATTGGTTGATCAAGCCTTATACCTTTTTTTTTTCTGAAAAAAGAGGATGTATTTTGCTTTTGAAACCAAATTAATTGTTCACTTGCTAGTAATTTACAATCACCTGGGAAGAGACATTGATATGTGCTGAAACAAGATTGCAGTTGTGTAGCGATTTTTACATGTTGTTTTAAAATCCTAAAATAAATAACATTGCTTTACTCTGTATTGAGCCCACTTTTAAATTAAATGTATGAACATTGGAATTGTACTCTATTCATTCTCATCTTACCTGGATATATATATATATATATATATATATATATATATATATGAATTTAAGATTTAAAAGTGAAGCAGATATTTTCATATAGTGCTGAATATTAAAAATATTGAGCTACAACGAATGAACATTATTTCCGGGTTCAAATGGCCCTTAAGGAACTGTGTTCCTGATCAAGCTGAATTAATAAATAATTACATTGGTCACATGACTACATGCCTATCCAGACGCCTTACGTTACACCTATCTGACCATAGCTCTATTAGGACCCATTTAAACACACAAGATTACCAGACTCCATCCGAAACATACTAGTAGAAAACACAAGCATAATTACCTCAGTCACCTGTAAAATAAAAAAAAAAAAAAAAGCCAACACTTAATGATATTAACTACGAATACGGCCACAATTGCATTGCTGTGTTCGGAAAATCAAACATCTCTATAACATTAAAAACATACACACAATGTACACAGCCAATTAAATAGAAAAAATAAAATCATCCTTGATAATGGCTAAAAGTATAGCCAAAAACACTCAGAGTTATAGAACATTAGGACAGTTTCTACACACTCTGTGTCTAAAAAAGAAAACACTTGTTTGAACACAAGAAAAATTAAATAAAAAGCTTAATCATAGTACCTTGTCTGTCATTTTTAATGAAACGTTCATATATATATTATAAATTAATTGATTTAAAATATGTTTTTTTCCGCTACATAGTTCTAACCATGTTTCAAAAATGGAAGCTAAAAGTCCCGAATTTAATTTTGTAATTAAATTAAAGACATTAGTTCCATTTCATCCTCAAGCAAATTTTGGAGTAACTTTTAAAATCACTGGGTTTTAAATACACAGCTAAAACAAAATTCATGTTTCCAAGGTTACAGATAAATCTATTTTGCTAGACAGGGTTGTCTCGGTGTTCAATATATCTATATTTTAATGTATCAGTTATTGTTACTTTTGGTAGTGGGTAGGGGTGTATTGTACATCGAGCACTATTTTGTAAAAATAAAAATATCTATAAGAACACCAGATTATATATCTTACTGTTCTTTCTTTATATATATATATATATATATATATATATATATATAGAGAGAGAGAGAGAGAGATGCACTCACAAGTTCACATCCAGTGTGAGGTTAAATTTATGAGTGTCTACCTGATTCAGCAAATAAAAGCTTCTATTAGTAATGTCTCCAGTATTCTGCTAGATAATAAAACTGTTTTTTCTTTCTTTCAGAATCACGGATCGAACAGTGGAGCCACTGAAATTGCAGCTAAAGTCCCTCGATCAGACCATCAATGATCAAATGGATGTCATCGCCATGGTGAAAGCAAATGTTATCCGAAATGACAAACGCATTGTGTCCATGCTGCACTCTGTTGCCAAAGTGTGAGAGCGAAAGGGGACTTTGACCTCGGTCGTCCCTCAGCAGAATTTCTCTCTGACCTGGAACTATTCTGGCCCCGTCAGCAAATCCGTCCACAAATCGGGATAGCCATTTGGCTAGGAGACTTGTATAATTTATAATTGTAAATGTTTGATTTAATAAATAACATCAGTTGTTTTTTTTTTCCTGTAAGTTTTTTCATTTGTGTTATGAATCAATCAACACAGTCAATGTTTTGCTGGGGTCGATCACTCAAGCTGCTTAGTATCTGAATATTTTTCTTTTCGTCACTCTGTTAAAGCATAAATCTGGAAGAGGAATGAAAATACACATTTTGCTGCTTGTCAAACTGGCAGGTAATGTTGAGAGAAAATAGACATAGCCCTTGAACCATGGGTAGGTCAACTTTGATTTAGGCAATGTTTATTTTACCAAAGAATTGGATGCAATTACCTATCGCCTTGAGCACATGGAGGACTCAGATGAAACCTGGGAAGAAATCGATGGAATGTCAGAACCAATCTTGCCGAGAGTTGAAATTTGTGGAATGTGAGGGAGTAGCAGAAACTAGATTTCAGCTGTTACTTACACGAGGAATGATCTATTCAGACTAGTATCCTCATCTTGGTTGTTATAGTCCCAACCTTTCAGCTGTTTCTTAGATGAGGAATTATCATTATTATACATTGATCTATTCAGACTAGTATCCTCATCTTGGTTGTTATAGTCTCAACCTTTCAGCTGTTTCTTAGATGAGGAATTATCATTATTATACATTGATCTATTCAGACTAGTATCCTCATCTTGGTTGTTATAGTCCCAACCTTTCAGCTGTTTCTTTGATGAGGAATTATCATTATTATACATTAATCTATTCAGACTAGTATCCTCATCTTGGTTGTTATAGTCCCAACCTTTCAGCTGTTTCTTAGATGAGCAATTATCATTATTATACATTGATCTATTCAGACTAGTATCCTCATCTTGGTTGTTATAGTCCCAACCTTTCAGCTGTTTCTTAGATGAGCAATTATCATTATTATACATTGATCTATTCAGACTAGTATCCTCATCTTGGTTGTTATAGTCCCAACCTTTCAGCTGTTTCTTAGATGAGGAATTATCATTATTATACATTGATCTATTCAGACTAGTATCCTCATCTTGGTTGTTATAGTCCCAACCTTTCAGCTGTTTCTTAGATGAGCAATTATCATTATTATACATTGATCTATTCAGACTAGTATCCTCATCTTGGTTGTTATAGTCCCAACCTTTCAGCTGTTTTCTTAGATGAGCAATTATCATTATTATACATTGATCTATTCAGACTAGTATCCTCATCTTGGTTGTTATAGTCCCAACCTTTCAGCTGTTTCTTAGATGAGCAATTATCATTATTATACATTGATCTATTCAGACTAGTATCCTCATCTTGGTTGTTATAGTCCCAACCTTTCAGCTGTTTCTTAGATGAGCAATTATCATTATTATACATTGATCTATTCAGACTAGTATCCTCATCTTGGTTGTTATAGTCCCAACCTTTCAGCTGTTTCTTAGATGAGCAATTATCATTTATTATACATTGATCTATTCAGACTAGTATCCTCATCTTGGTTGTTATAGTCCCAACCTTTCAGCTGTTTCTTAGATGAGGAATTATCATTATTATACATTGATCTATTCAGACTAGTATCCTCATCTTGGTTGTTATAGTCCCAACCTTTCAGCTGTTTCTTAGATGAGCAATTATCATTATTATACATTGATCTATTCAGACTAGTATCCTCATCTTGGTTGTTATAGTCCCAACCTTTCAGCTGTTTCTTAGATGAGCAATTATCATTATTATACATTGATCTATTCAGACTAGTATCCTCATCTTGGTTGTTATAGTCCCAACCTTTCAGCTGTTTCTTAGATGAGCAATTATCATTATTATACATTGATCTATTCAGACTAGTATCCTCATCTTGGTTGTTATAGTCCCAACCTTTCAGCTGTTTCTTAGATGAGCAATTATCATTATTATACATTGATCTATTCAGACTAGTATCCTCATCTTGGTTGTTATAGTCCCAACCTTTCAGCTGTTTCTTAGATGAGCAATTATCATTATTATACATTGATCTATTCAGACTAGTATCCTCATCTTGGTTGTTATAGTCCCAACCTTTCAGCTGTTTCTTAGATGAGCAATTATCATTATTATACATTGATCTATTCAGACTAGTATCCTCATCTTGGTTGTTATAGTCCCAACCTTTCAGCTGTTTCTTAGATGAGGAATTATCATTATTATACATTGATCTATTCAGACTAGTATCCTCATCTTGGTTGTTATAGTCCCAACCTTTCAGCTGTTTCTTAGATGAGCAATTATCATTATTATACATTGATCTATTCAGACTAGTATCCTCATCTTGGTTGTTATAGTCCCAACCTTTCAGCTGTTTCTTAGATGAGCAATTATCATTATTATACATTGATCTATTCAGACTAGTATCCTCATCTTGGTTGTTATAGTCCCAACCTTTCAGCTGTTTCTTAGATGAGGAATTATCATTATTATACATTGATCTATTCAGACTAGTATCCTCATCTTGGTTGTTATAGTCCCAACCTTTCAGCTGTTTCTTAGATGAGCAATTATCATTATTATACATTGATCTATTCAGACTAGTATCCTCATCTTGGTTGTTATAGTCCCAACCTTTCAGCTGTTTCTTAGATGAGCAATTATCATTATTATACATTGATCTATTCAGACTAGTATCCTCATCTTGGTTGTTATAGTCTCAACCTTTCAGCTGTTTCTTAGATGAGGAATTATCATTATTATACATTGATCTATTCAGACTAGTATCCTCATCTTGGTTGTTATAGTCCCAACCTTTCAGCTGTTTCTTAGATGAGCAATTATCATTATTATACATTGATCTATTCAGACTAGTATCCTCATCTTGGTTGTTATAGTCTCAACCTTTCATACTTGGATTAGAGCAACCAGCCACCATATATATATATCTATATATATATATATATATATATGTTTGTACCATTCCTGTATATCTTCTTTATCTGCCATATTCCCTCTGGATGTAGGTGATCATGGCTCTCAATAAATTCTGTCTTTTTGTTGTTTCTAAACCCTGCTCCACCATCTATATTCTGAAGCTTGTCAAGTATGTTATGTCTTGTTTTTTCTTGTCCCTCTTTCCCTCAATCTGTCCTGTGAGTATCATGTTTTCCAAACCCTCATTTCTCTTTATGTTCTCCAGAAAGTTCAGCTGTCTCTTTCTGACATTTTTCTGTTTCATGTTTCCATTTTCTCTAAAAGCTCTTCGGTCCATATTATCCTCACCATCCTTCTGTAGAACCACATTTCTGTTGCTTCAAGTCTCTTTTTTTTATCTCTGTTGAGATTATCCAACATTCATTGGCATACAGTAGGACATACATCACGTCTTTCTTTTTTTATGTGCCATGTCCTTTCAGGACTTGGGCGATCACGGCTCTCCACCACCCTTGCAGCTCTCAACAAGTTCCTTTCCTCTGCTTCCTCACCCAGGCCACGTTCTGTCATCCATTTGCTTAATCCCGCCAGGTATGTCAAACATTGCTTTCCCTTGTCTCTATTTCACTCTGTTCGACCGGTGAGTATCAGATTCTCCAGGCCTTCCTTCTTCATTATGTGTCCCAGAAACTTCAGCTGCCTCTTTCTGATGTTAAGTATAAGCCTTCTCCTTGTTTGTAGCCTCTCTAAGACTTCGTCGTTGTCCACACGATCGGTCCATGATATCCTTAGCATCCTTCTGTAGAACCACATCTCCGTCACCTCGAGTCTCTTCTTCATCTTTGAGGAAATCGTTCAACATTCCCTGTCGTAAAGAAGGACAGATGTCACGTAAAATCTCAGTATTCTTTTCTTTGTTACCAAAGAAATTCTCTTGTCTCGCAATACTCTGCCCAGCTTTTGGAATGTGTCCTTGGCCATCCGAATACGTCTACGGATCTCAGTGTCGCACTTACCGTCCTCTGTCAAGACGCTTCCCAGATATTTAAACTTCCTCGTCTGCTTCATTCTAGTGTTCCCGACCTGCTTGATTCTAGTGTTCCCGACCTGCAAATCACATTCCTCTTACTGACGACCATGCATTCTGTCTTCTTGTTGGTTTATGCTTAGTCCTTTCTTCTCACTCTCTGTCGTTACCTTCTGTAGGAGATTTTGTAATTTCTTTTCCGTGTCTGCTATCAGTACTGTGTCATCTGCGTATCTTATGTTGTTAAGATTGTGGACACCAATGCTAAATCTCGGTAGGGTTTCCAGTTCGCTCAGAGTTGCCTCGCTATATAAATTGAACAGGTCCGGTGAGAAAACGCATCCTTGCCTTAACGCCTTTTTCTATTGTGTAATCTCCGAACTTGTTCCCTATGCGCATGCATGCTGTTTGCTGTCAGTATTATTTCTTGATTATTCTGATATCTTTCTCGAATATTTCGAGGTTTCTGAGTATTTCCATCAGATCCTTGTGGCGTACTTTGTACATAGATGCACGTCCTTCTGCATTTGTGTCGCATTTGTATCGCTCTTTCTGATAACATTCTGAGCATAAATATCGCGGTCGTTGTTCCGGTGTCTTTAACGAAGCAGTTTAGTACTCTTTTCTTTGTTTCTAACGCAGTTTTTGCTGTCTCTGCTTAGCTTTTGGAAGGCATCTTCCTCTATCCCAAAGCGACTTCGGATTTCAGTGTCGCATTTTCCGTCCGCCGTTAGAACACTTTCATATAAATATTTTCGTACTTTAGTTTTTAATAATTTCTGTGTGTAAGCGTTCAAAATGAAAAAAAAAAAACGTACATATCTATAGAGAGAGACAGAGAGAGAGATAATATTAGTGGTTAATATACATATATATATATATATATATATATATATATATATATATATATATGTGTGTAAAAAAATTCCAAGAGGATAGAATCCAGGTAGAACTCAATGT